TTACTTTCAAACCTATTTATTTTTTATTGAAACGTAAATGAAATATTTGAAATTATTTGAAATTAGAAAAATACATCGACAGACATGAATGTATAAGCATGAATGTATAATCCATAGGATTCGTATAACTATCCAATCTTGATGTTAACTTTAAAAAAATTAAAAATTAATAGTATCGATAAAATGTAACTAAGTAAAGTTAAAAAGTTAAAAGTTTAAAATGTAACTAAATGAAATTAAAATTAATTAACTTTTTAATTTTTTAACTTAACTTTTTAACTTAGCATTATCCAACCTTACATTTTCACTTATAAAGATACATTTATTATGTACACATTTCTTTTTTTTTTTACATTTTATATTTTAAATTCCATGGAATTAATTTATTTTTTCATTTTACTTAATACATTTCTGTATTTTTATATTAAGATCAGATTTTTCTATTATTTTATTCGATTGATTACTTATAAGATGTATTATCGACTACTATGAACTATGTATTGGCGTTACCATATTATGTCATAAAATCTTGTACTGCGATTCTTCAGAAATTGTGACTAACAAATGAAATGTTACATGCGAGGCTTTTACATCGAATCATTCTTTCGGATTACATCTAATCGAAGTCTATATAATATATTTTGTTATGTATTTATTCTCAATCTTGACTATTACTATTATATTCTAATTCTAATTATTACACGTTTTAACATTGATTAATGACTTAAAGAAAATTGAAACATCTGTTTGTTTATATTCTCAGTTATTTTTATATTATTTATTAGTTATTATATTAAATTTGAATTGGTTTGGCTCGTAGCTCTTCGTATTACATTTATTTTATTTAATATACTTTGAGCTATATGACATTATGTATTTTAATAAATAATTCTTGTCTGTTGTTTTGATCATAAATTAAATTGTAATTTTAATTATGTGCGTATATGACTTTATATCATAAATAAAAAAGCTTTTATAGTTAGTAAAATCTATCTATATCTACATAGTATATATGTTAAAATGTCTATGTGTTTTAATCTTTTTAGTTATAGATTAATTTTAGTTTAGATTAATGAATATTAATATATTATAGATATATAATTGATAAATAGATAAAGAATTGAATTTGGAAAATGACATTTAAATTATTTTTAAACTAAAAGAAAATATATGATTTTTAGCATTATAAATCTATAAATTTAATGGCATTGAGATTTATATAAGCAAATATATTTTCAGCTAAAATTTTGCTGTTCTACGTAATTTTCTATGCCGTCCTCTCCGGCTTCTTCGGTGCGATGCTCGCTGTGTTCTATCAAACGTTGGATCCGAACGCGCCGAAGTGGCAGCTAGATAATTCGCTGATTGGCAGCAATCCGGGTCTCGGTTTTAGGCCTATGCCTCCTGAAAGCAACGTCGAAAGTACTTTGATTTGGTACAAGGCTAGCGATGAGGGTAATTATCTTCACTGGACTAGAGAATTGGACAAATTTTTGGAAGGTAAGAAAGACACACATGAGCGAAGTGCACAGTCTTAACATATAATATTATGAAACTGATCATATGTGTATATACACAACAATTATTTATGACTAACTAATATGAAGAACGAAAACGAGTTTTCAATATCAATATAGTTTATGTGAACAAACAAATATTTGTGACTACACGAATTTTCCAAAGAAATTCATATAGTAATTCATGTAGTACACACATACATACTTTGAACTCAATTTCATGATGAATCATTATAAAAGCAAAAAATGAGATCAAATTAATTACTCTACAAGAGCATTTATTATTTTGAAGAAATATTTTAATTAATTAATATATTACGTAATCAGTTATTAAATCAAATATTTATTAACTAACCAATATGAAATTAATATATGATTTTCAAAATATAATTTCTATACAATACAGAATATCAAAGGTCACCGGGTGCGAACTACGAGAGAGTAAATTGCGATTACGGTAGGCCAGCACCAGCAGGCAAAGTCTGCGATGTAGACATGACGAGTTGGGGACAATGCACGAAGCTCAACAAATATGGTTTTAGCAGATCCGCACCTTGCATTTTTTTGAAACTGAATAAGGTTTGTGTATTCTTTTTATGTAACTTGCTAAACTTTCATAGAACTCTTTAAATTGAAAGTGGTAAATAAATTACGAACTAAATTTCCAAGATAATAATTCAAAAAGAAAAAATCAAATAAACAGGCAATTGGGAATTAGCACTATAACGGTGCGCAGTTTTTGTTTCTATAAAATAATTCTATATTATATCATTAGTTGTACATGTTTCGGCTAATCCTTTCTTTCCTTAGCAAAAATTTCAGTACGTAATATAATATTACAATACGTTGATTATCCATGCGTTGTATAAAAATCATTATATAATAAAGTAATAGTCGATATCATCCCGTGGCAGTAACACTTCTCCATAATAGAATAAAATTATATTTCCAGTTTGAAAGCTGGTAATGAATGACTGGAAATCCTATAATGATGTAACCGATGATTATATTGGTATGATTACATTATTACAATAACAAAGTTAATAGTTATAATAAATTAGTTATAATAAAATTATCGGTGTAGGCAATGATAAATGTATAAAATAATAGTAATAAAATTGAATAAACGATATAAGTTAACAAAATTGTCAAATGTGTCATTGGTTAAAAAGAAAATAACGAAGACCTATGTGAGATAGAACAGTATCGATATTTCACTGAGGAGAAGTTGCTCCTCATTTTTATAATAATCAACGTATATAACGAATAATCAACGTATTGTAATATTGCATATATAGTGAAATTTTTGCTGAGGAAGGCTAAAAAATTAGCCAAAACATATATAAGTAATGACATAATATATAGAATTATTTTATAGAAACAGAAACTATACATACCGTTTACAGCGCCAATTGCTTGTTATTTGATTTTTTCTTTTTGAATCTTTAAATTGAAACTTTGTTTATGCAAGATCAAGAAGAAAAATCGAATATTAAATTGATAAATTATAATTTTTAAAAATCATTTTCTCTTCTATAATATATCAACAAAAAAAAATGATTAAGAATATTTTAAAATTTTATTGACTTATTAAATTAAAAATTTTCTTGTTAGTTTATTACGTTTTAGCATTTTTTCTAGGTTTACTAAAAAAAAATCAATTTTTGGGAATATAAAATATTAGCTTTATCATTTTTCAAAGATACATTTAATATTTCAAATTTCGAAAGCAATTAAAATGACTGGGTATATTAATTATACAAAAATGTCGATTTAACAAAATCATATCTTAAATTTATTTTAGATTTTTGGATGGGAACCGAAATTTTATAACAATACCAAAGATTTGCCGGCTTTGATGCCAGCGGATCTTAAGGAGCATATCAGACAAGAAGAAAAAGCCAATAGATTGGATACTGTTTGGGTGTCTTGTGCTGGTGAAAACCCTGCCGATGTGGAGAATATGGGTGCAATTCAATACATACCACGTCGAGGTTTTCCTGGCTACTACTTCCCATTTAAGAATACCCAAGGATATTTGAGCCCTCTTGTAGCTGTGTTCTTCGAAAAGCCCAAGTGTACATATACGCTTAATATTATTTTTAATATTAACATAATATGTTCGAAATAGAAAACAACTTCTTAATATATATTCTAAATATTAATATGATAACTTTTATATATTACTATGATAGCTCTTCTATCTTTCAACATTTGAAGTTTAATTTAAATGTCTAAAAACCAGTTGAATCTTGTTCATTAGAGTATAAGTTGGAAGTCAATGGCTACGTTCAGCAGAAAAGGGAAAACTCATTAATGAACGCTTAGTTCTTTAATACAATTTGTCTTTAGTTCTTTGCTGGATCTAAGTATAGGAGCCAATATTAAAAAATCTCTGAGCGCTTATTAATCAGTTTAGCTCTGCTGAACGCAGCCATTAAGACTAACATGTATGTAGGAATGAAATAATTAACATCTATTGATTTTATTACAGACGGCGTACTCATTAATATCGAATGTAAGGCATGGGCGCACAACATCATCCACGACAGATTTGAGAGACGTGGCTCGGTGCACTTCGAATTGATGGTGGACTAAACCCTATCAGATCATCATCGCTACTAACCGCGTCCAAGTAGGAAGCCGCAAGAGAATAGAACAGAAAGAAGACATTTCTTTTTTAACCTGCCTCGTTGGCCGACCGCGATCACACCCTGTACCATCCGGTTTTCTCTCTGCCCGATGATACCGCTCCGGATTAGCCTTACTTCTTCTCACTATCATCATTTCATCAGCTCATCGTCTTCATCGTACTTACAACGATTATAACAGCGTTATCCATCTATCATGTCAATTGCCAAGAGAAGGATACAAAAGGGAAAAAAGAAAAAAGGGAAGACGAGAGAAAGAAATAAAGAGAAAAGAAAAAGAGAAATTGAACAAAAAGGAATAGCAACATAAACGAGAAAATGAACTCAATGAAGTAATCAACTACAATCGAGATGCACAAAACCAAAGGGGAGGGAAGAAAGGTGAAATGAACAATCCCGCACAAAAGCCGGGCGGTATCCTCTCTTATTTCTGCCAGGGTTGTGTCACGGGGAGTGATCTCGACCATCGATGGCTAGTCGATCGTTCGCAAAACTTAATTCGCGCGCGCGCGCGAGAGAGAGAGAGAGAGAGAGAGAGAGAGAGAGAGAGAGAGAGAGAGAGAGAGAGAGAGAGAGAAGTTTTCCCTTAGTTAGTTAAGAGCCCACCGACCGTTCCAGTTAGATATCTTGAGCTTTGCGTCACACATATTTCTTTTCACAAAGTCAAGCTCAGCCGATTGTCATGGCACTGCGGATGATCGATGATCTTAGTTCAGCCATGTAGATGTATTACATTAGTGTGTTTTGCCCATCGCGTTATGATACATCTTGGCATGTCAGTATGTTGAAATTTTTGGGCATTGGTAAGAGAAGTGGTACTTGGCAAATTTTAATAAAAAACAGCAGGTACAAAGGGGTACAAGTATGTCACTTGGACTAATCGCTGTTAAGTAACAATGATAAACATTGCTTGTAACGTTATTTAAAACTTTGAGTGATATAATAATGTGTCAAGAGAAAATTAATCACAAGCGACGCGAAATTGTCTATCGAGTTGTTGAATAAAGTTATAAATTATGTATAAAGTTTCTATGTTCGAAATTTTTCCAAATATTGGTACTGAAGAAACAAAGATAAAATCTTTATAAAAATGAAAAAAATTTGTTAAAAAATCTCACCGAGATTTACAACTAAAGTATAACAGTCAGGTTTTTTTACTTTAGTAAATTGTGTTACTAAAACTTGTCTCAACTTACGTTACGTTTACTGAAATACAGATTTTTTACGTTTAATGAGATACAGATTATATTACGATATAGGTGGAAATTTGATTTACATGGCTATACTCATATTGATACATAAGTTGTCTTGTATGTTGACAATTGTTACTTGTATTCCTTTGTTCCGGATATTTTCAATTGAGAGTTAAAATTAAGTGTTATTATATTGAAATCTGCTACAGAGTATGATGAAAAAGTATAAGCAAAGATACGGATATTAAAGAGGCGATCAATAGTTATTGTCACACAATATGTTGAATGTGTATGATGATCTATGATTCTATATAATGCATTTTTCATGCGATAGAAATTCTTGGAATCTATGAGTTCTTGCATGCAGAGACACTCGGATTCACAGATTGTTGAATCTACTAATTTTTGAGCTCATAAATGCTCGGATTTGGACTCGCAAATTTTTTAATGTTTTGGATTATCAAAAGAATGTATTTCAATTTAAATAGTACATGAAGAAAATAAAGAGAATTAGTGACAATAATTTAAAAAAAAATTTTACATTCACAGGAATTTATTCAAATCCAACGATCTGTGAGAGTTAAAAGAATTTTTGAAAAAAATCACGAATTCAAAGATCTATGGATATGAGATTTTGAAGTAGAAAAAAATATTCATATCAATCTTACATTTACTTGAACTTATTGAATACAATTAATTAGAAAATTTACGAGAATTTAAATTTAAATGTATTTTTTAATTTTGATGTTAAAATTAAAAAAATTTTGATGTTTAATAATAATGCATAAATCTAAGAAATCTCCTGATTAAAAATTTACAAAGTACGATTGATCAGAAATGAGTTTATTTGGAACGAATATTGGCGTAGAAAGGTATGAAATTGATGTGAAAAGTTCAAGATTTTATAGATCCGAGTTTGTGTATGCGTGCGCGAAGATGCAAAAACATATAAAAACAAAGATGCGTTAAGATGCATGAAATATAGAAATGCAGATCATGATATATAAACTTAAAGAATTTATGAATTCAAAGATTTATGTGATATCAACGATCTGTACATCTAAGACTCTATATGGGCCCAAGAATCTTCTTATCTGAGGATATATGAGGGCAAAAATCTATATACTCAGGAATCTATAAATCAACAGCAAGAATCAACAAGAATCTACAGATCTAAAGATCTGTGCATGGACCTAAAAATTCAAATTAAAAAATTTACGAATACAAAAAAATTTCCAAAAACAATAATCTGTAAGTCCAAGGATCTATTGATTTTGCTAATTAATGTTTAATTTGCAATTTGAGAAATATTTTAGTTGTATAAGTATGTAGAACAAGTATTGCAACACTATCAGGACAGTATTGACAAGATACATTGTAATAATAATAAAAGGAACTCTCATATGCGCATTTAGTATTTACTGAATAAGCGAATACCGCGAAAAATGCTAAAAAATTACTGAAAAGAAATTTTAAAGTCTATACTTGAAAAACAATTTTCAAAGAGTATCGCGATCAGTAATTACTACATTTATAGTGATAGTACGAAAAATGTACATTGATCGTATACTAATAATATAAATATGTTATATTAATGATACATAATATATCGATAGCTAAAGCATTAAAATTGTTGAAGTATTAATAGTAATACTGATCGTGGTAGCTCTCCATAAGTATTGTACTTAATTCTTAAATGATTAATTTCTAAACTTACTTAAATCGAAGGCATGATTTGATCTTAAACCTAACTGTCGATATATCAAATGGACGTTTAGTCGTGATTAACGTAAAGCGTTATATATATATATATATA